TATGCCAGTGTTATTTTTATGTGAGTTGAAATGGAAAAAAATTCTCAGTGATATCAAATATGAGTATTCATTTCTCTATTTATTGAAAATAAATAAAGTTACCAAGAAATAAAACCATGGAAACGTGATTCCCTTGGTGAGTTCATAAAGATTAAAGACCATTTGTCTTCGATGGACTAAAAATAAATGCCAAACATCCTTAAAATATAACAACATATCCTTCTATTATATTACATTGTTATAAATTATAATAATGTAATTTACATTTATAATACAACTTATGGTTCTCACGTTACCGTGAAATATATTAATGTATACAGACATACAGTATGACCCTACTACTACCTACCATAATAAATCATATAAATAATTCAAAATTCGTTTATACGACAATGGAAATTTAGAAATATATAAAAGTATTTTATAGTAAAATAAGTCATTAATAAAATCATGTAGAAATCCAAGGCAATTGTTTGCATTATATAGTAATACACAAAGGGTACCTGTACTATTTTATACATTAAAATGTCATTAAATACAATATTTAAATATTATGAAGACGATCACATGGATCGAGAATATTTGAGATGGACTATATGGGTAAGTAATCGGTAATTGTTGAGATTACGCTATATATTAAAAAAAGACAGAGTGGGGTCATATGCATAATTATTATACAATATAATGTCTAATTGAGAAAACAATGCATGTGTATTCTGCAGGAATATTGCAAAAATCCGTTAGCAAAATTAATATTATAGCCTACTATATAATTAGTTAATAAAATATATTGGTTTAATATTGTACAGAATAAATTATACGAGACTCTTCAACCCGTGTTGTGAAGAAATTTACTAATGCTGCCATTAAAAATGTTATAGGCATTTCGTATTTTTTGCCAAGTCGTAAATCATTACGTGGCACAGGATATATCATTAAAACCAAACAGTTCATTGCTCTTAGCGGTAGTTTCAATTTTGTAAAGTCACATCGTAAAATGCATGTAGCATAAAAAAAAACGAAAAGTAGAATAAGTAGATGCACACATGTAAAATTATGCTATTATTAAATTTGACATGGAAACTTGTAAATATAGGTTATAAGCAAACCCTTCATTTTACATCAGGGTAAAGCGAGTCTTTCGTCCTTTTACGGGCGGTGGCCATAAAAAAGCTTGATTAATGATTCCCTTTTTTCTTCGCAAAAGGTTAAATGAATGGACAGTTTAGTGTGATGGAAAAAAAAATTACATTATAAAAAACTACAGTTCATGACAAAGCTGATGTTTTTCTGACAAAAAAAAAAAACAAAAAACAAAAAAATAAACGTAGGTCAACTTTGCGAGAAGTTTGTATATTTTCGTCAATAACATTTTCTATAATATGTTTATATAAACAATATTTAAAACGAAAAACTGATCACGTTCTATAATCTGAATGCGTCATATTATTATATGTATTTATTTTGATTGCAGTATAGTATTAGTACATTAATATATTTTTTTTTATAAAAAAAATAGGTAGGTCTTCATACCTAATCTAAAAAGACCACACCACACCACACCGGCATGCCTTGTCTCCATCTTATAAAAGTACAGCATGGCTAATTTTAAGTTTACTATAATACATTTTTCTCTGTAATTTCTAAAATTAAATTAAATGGACCTCTTATAAGATTTAAGATTAAGATCATTATCTGGGAATCTCGGAGGCTTTTATTAACAATTGCATTATGAAGCAAGTTATGACCATTTTTAAACTGAACATTTGAAAAATTATCATACCTTACTTAAAAATAATACTCTCAATAAAATCCTGCACGATGTCCTTGATAATAATCATACCATTAAATTGCATCATTGTTCAATTCACTCTAATTTTATAAATAACAAGGTAAAATGAATTATTCTTTATGTAAAATGTGCAATGTTGTATGTTTGTAAGACGGAGACAAAGGGTGTGGGTGTGTCATCCTGATACAAGTAAAGTGATATTTTGTGTTGCAATTATATTGTTTTTGAGCCCTTTTTTGAGTTAATACTTTACTTTTGTTTAAGAAAATGCTCGACAAGTATCACAGATATTGTATAATATGTATAATATTTAATATAATTCTGAGTAATATATGGTATGGAAATTATTTTTTGGAACTAAGTCACGATAAAGAACATTATAATAATCGAAAAATATTAGCATAAAATATGTTAGGTTTTTGAATTATAAAATGTATACCATTGGATAAAAAGTGTAATGAAACGCTATTTTATTGCTTTCAAAAGAATTTATATAAATATTAAATACACCCAACCAGTAGACTCATCGTATCTGGACAATCACCAATTTAAATAAATATCAGCTAATAAAATATTAGAACATCATGGTTTTTAATTTTGATTATTAATTTATCAAGCTACTATAAGTTTAAATTTCTAACTACATTGGTATAGAAATCATTTTGAAGTTAACAAACTTCTTGGGTTAATTTAGGTGAAAGTTTTATGAGGAGTGCATTCTTTAAAATGCACGTTAAGTTTGTAACCAACAATGTTTTCAAAGTATATATTTTAACTTTGCTGTAAAATAATTAACGGGCTGTCAACCAAATTTCTACTATTAAAAATGAACATTGTTGTGTTAAAAATTAAAATTTAATAAAACCATAAAATAGTAGACTAAGTATAATTAATATTATACACCGTAGAATTCGTTGGTAAAAATGTATTTCTTTTAGTTAAATTTAAAAAAATAATTAAATTATTAACCAATTACTTGTAACTTATAACTATTGGCGTACAAATATCAAATATATACATTATTTTACATTTGGGAACTATGTAACTTAACATCAGACAACTGGGCTATCGTTACTTGAAAAAAAAAAATGATTCTGAAGTTGATGATTTCAGTTGCAATTGGTAAAAGGTAAAAACTGACTGACGTATTATTACAAATCTAACTTGTGCACTATAAATATAATACAAAGCTTAAAATGTACATTAACTGGAAAGCAGCTAGGTAGCTTTTATTAATACATTTCGGCTGCTGCAAAAGATAAAATAACATTTGATGTCTTATTGTTCGAACTGTTCGTGAAATAATTTAATTATATTAATAATACTGCAGTTTATAAAATGTGCAAATTAAAATTTTACTACCTCACACATACGATTAAAATTAGCGAGATTTGATTGGAATACAACAATATAGTTGGTATATATGTATCTAAATGTAGTTCATAATATTATGAAACATCGTTATGCTACATTAGTATTTATGTGCCACAAACTGTAAAAATAAGACACAAAATACTAAAACACGAATAAAGTTTTTGATAAAATGAAGTCTTGCAATTTAATACGTCACAGTATGAGATTTTAAAACCAATAAACTTTACACACTTTAATGAGCAACAATAACTTTCACAGTCTCAAACGAAAATAAAAAGTGGGAATGAAGGAACAATTCAGTAAAATGGTCAAAAGGCTTTATTTAGTTTCTAAACTTTGAACTTAACCACATTTATTAAACACAAAAATGTTTTAATCATCAGCGACAAAATTGTTTTGAAGTTAAGGTTTAGGTTTTAAAAATATGTATTGCAGTGTTCTAAATTAATTCAATAGAATTAAAAATTGATAAATTCACTAATATTCAGAGTGATTTATATTATCAATCATTAAATTGTATAACATTTATAATTTTGTAATATAAGGATTGATTTTAAATTAATATTTGTGCCCATAGTTTGGATTTAGTATTGTCAATGAATCTTTTATAGTGATTTTAATGAACCCAAATCACTATCTTTGAATTTAATCAGTAATACATCTATGGTAACTCTTTTTTTATGATATTTCATTTTTTGTAACATTTTTTAAATATTATAAGCAAAAACTCTTGACAAGAGTTGACAAATTGTTTTGTTTTATTTGAATTTAGGAAGTTAAACTAATATCAGGTTAGACATATTTACTTAACATTAATATCGAAAAACATTAAAATTTGTTGTTTTATTTAAAGCGAAATTGTTTGTTGTTATTCTGGTGGATTCATTGGGGAAAGTGGAGAGGTTAGGTTAGGTTTTTTTACCTAAAAATTGTGAATAGAGTGAATACATCGTAATATTGTTTTGATGAAATGCTGTATTGTGTTGTTTCAGTACTATAAGTATTGGTATTAGAAAAGAAATGCGATAGATATTTAATGATATATGAAAATCATAACAAATAAATTATTAATTTTATAAATAATTTATAACATATATTTTGTATACAACTATAAAATAACGTGTAGTGTGGAATTTTGTTTTCGCTTTAATTGTTTATAAAATAATGTTAACATAATAAATAAAGACACTCTTTAAAAAAACGTACAATTATCTTTTATTATTATGTTATAATTCCTGTTTTTATGATTTTTTATTCACAAAAACAAATTTACATGAAATTCAGAACCTTCGGCCGATATTAATTTCGAACACATTTTATCGTCCTTTAATAATATGCTGATAATTAAATCTAAATCTTTAATAATAAAATGTATGAAATAGAATTCCTGTCGTCTAATAACCTAGTGAAATATTTATGCTTGTCGCTCAAAACGCATATTTAATTACTGACCTCCTAACCTTAATCCCATAATATGGATTATTTTTTACACATTATCCTATAGGTATTATCATAAACACAATGATATTATACGTCTGAACAATTGAAGTCAATACTTTGCGTTAAAAAAATAATAATATATAATGTGATATTATACGATGTGATATTGTGTAGGAATTTTCCGTGTCCCAAGAAAAAAATTAAATTTAACTTCAAAAAAAAAATAGTTTGTTAGCGGCCCAGTACGAGTCACTTGTTGTGCGCGATAACTCGTTTGCCTGTTATAACATCATTTCGCCGTCCGACGATACCCACCGAACCACGAAACCTATTAGCTTATCATCTATTACGATAAGTCGCATGCGACATAATTGTGTATATTGGTGCAACTCACTTCATCTGAAAGTCATGATACTGTTGCGAACTTATGCTGTTGGCGAAGTCGGGCCACCGGTTGAAGTCGATCGGCAGTTCGACGGGCGCCGTCTGGCACCCCTCGTGCCCCTGTTCCGGCGAGTTGGCCGACAGCGAAGGCTGTTGGACGACGATCGTGGCCACTTGTCCCGTGTCCGACATGACGACCGCAGCCGATTGGCTCTTGTTGATGACCAACGCGTCCAGCAGCACCGCCGAGCCTTTCCGCTCCTTGTTGTTCCAGTTTGGCGTCCGGTTGTACACCGACGACGGTCTCCTGGAAACCACGCAAAGGCCCGTGGCGATCATTCGTCAACGATTTATTCGACAACACCGTGAATCGTAAGAATAGGTAGGTATTTCAATATTAAAGTGTTTATCGTTTGTAATGTTTCTATTAACTTGAAATTATTTCCGCGTGCTGGTAATACGCGACAGATGTATAACGGAGCTGTGATGGTACGCGTGGGCTTTGCTGTTATTCGGATGCAATTTGTAAAATTGAAGAAAAATTGTCTAGTGGGGAGAGGGGGGAGACGGGGAGGACATCAATTATAACTCGCACACGAGTGTTCCAAAGCCAACTCGACTGGCCACATTTGACCTGGTAGGACGAAATCCAAAACATACAAGAAAAAAAGACCACCGAGTGCGTACACCTACTCTCCACCCATTGACGCGTTCGAGAAAAGGAGAGAAATTATACCACAGCTGCTACTGTTGTATTGCATAATGGCACGTCCATTATTATGATATTTCGTTGTTTGATGACGTAATTTGTAATAATGAACGTATGATTCTGATAACACGATCGGTAAAGACTGTACTGTTGAATCTCAACTATTTACTATAGTATTGTTAGCACGTATATTATTATTATTGTTATTAATATTATTGACTAGTGTTTGGTCTTTAAATATGCCACCTAATAAGGTTTAGTTAAATTGGGTATTTAAGATTAAAAATAACTGAGTAAAAATCTGTGTTTGAAAATGTAAATGTTTTTAAAAATTTTGTTTTTATAATATTATACCGATCTTTATTATGACTGTTTTAACCTAAATTTGTGTATACGAATTATGAATAAGATAAATCAATTTATTTGATTAAAAATGCAGGTAATATACGGACAAATGCAAAATATTGTTTCTCTTTAAAAAAAAAAATAGTTGTATTATTGCGTAGTTATTAGTAATTATATCAAACAAGCGAATCAATTTGCCTCAATATTTTAATGAAACAAAAAAATTATAACGATTAATTGTTTGGTGTAATAACTCAAACAAAATAAATTCGTTCTCGTTTAATAATAATTGAAAATATAATACATTTCTATATCAATACACATAATTTAGTAATTTGATTTTAATACTGTTATTAATGGATAGCAAAATCTTTTAAACGCGTATATAGTGTATTATACTATCATTAGTAATCATTAATTTTGACATATCGTAATTTTACAACAGTAATTAATCTAGTGATATCCATGAACAACATTCGTGCTGTACGTATACCTTTGTAACTTTATCGAATTAACTTACACGTTGTATAATGTCACTTTTAATAAATTACTACGCGTGTCCGATACTTAAAGACGTTACGAAACATATGTTGGGTTAGTTGTATACACGTTTCTTAACGACTAATAATATGTATTATTTTTAATTATTATGATACCTATAACGTTAATACAATGCGATTTTTTTTTATATTATGGATCATTCACATTATACACAAAAACTATCATCAATTATAAACGTAAGGGAATAAATGAAAATTTTCTACGAGCACTTGATGGTATTGCACTGATTAGTTTGTACAACGTTTATCATAACAAATATAGAATGACATCCGAACAGTTTGGTCACTAAAATTTAACGTTTTTTAGGAATTATTAAGTGGGTAATAGAAATAAAACATTACTAACCTAACCTATCAAAAATAAAACTTTATTGATTATATGTTATAACTTATAATTTTAACGTCTCTACAGATACTGTATATTTCAGTTAGATGATTTTATTGGTTTCCTTCTTTCATATGAAAATATATTATCAAGAGAAACAACATGTGGAGTTATAAAAAATCATTAAAAATGACCTATTATGTTTGATACTTTTCTACTAAAAATATGAGTGTTTTTCAAATAGTATTCTGATCTGACCAACTCTGACATAGTATTTATATTTTATAATTTAGTTATCCGAATAATATATAAAGCATACAAATAAAATGTATATTTATTAATTTTCCTAAGTACAATTTTATAACTTAAGACATAAATCCTTAACTTAGGGTACTCATATTATTTTTAATGTTTTCGTAAAATCAATAAATTCGATAATTATGTATAAAGAAATGGAATGAAATGAATACATTTTTTTTATCTTTATGGATGTTAATACAATTATTGTCGTTATTATTAATTAAAGGTTGTAAATATTAATTGTGACCAATATAAATTAAGCTGCTTCAAAATAAGATAAATAATGGATGTTGAAATTAATTACCCAAAATCGACAATTACTTTAAAACTTAACGAGGAAGCCAATAAGTAAATAATGATAAATTGATGAACGGATTAGCAAATGGAACATGTCTATTTATTATTCAACAAACAATCTGATTATAATAGATATTATTATCAAGGACTACAAAGTGAATTATTTTTAATCATGATGTTTTCAAAATTAATTAAGTTTCATGAATTACATTCTAGATGTGTCTTGTTATCGAAATAACTTCAAGACGTCTACAATATATTGCACGTTAATGACGTTAATCATGTTACCAAATTTAATAATATATTACAATTTACAACCAAAAGTTCATATTATATTAATTACTAATCTCCCTCAGGAAATATTCACTGATGTGTTTCAGTGTTAAATGCAAAACGTCTTATGCTTAATTTCATACTAATTACGAGTATTAATTAGGACAAATACAAACAACTTAAATACGTATTAAATAGTAAATACTCAAAAGAGCGGATATTTCAGTGTACTAAAAAGTTATCATGTCGGCTAAATTATAAAAATATAATAAATTTGTTTGTAAATCATAATGACTTAAATGGAATTAAAATGATTGCAGTTATAAGGTATAGAGAAATACATATAATTTAACATTTTTGTGAAATGAGAAGTTGAGTAGGTAGAACTTAATACCTTTACTTGGAATATGGATCATTATAAAGCCATTAAAAATGTTGTTGAATAATTTTATAATTCTGTATTAATAATAATTATTATTGGAGGTTTGAGTTTGTCAAATGAAACGTGAAAAAATATTTAAAAAAAACGTAAAAGAATTTTTTATATAACGATGCTTATAATAATTATAATTTGTCCTATCCCTATGTTCGTTGAACGCGTATACGTGCTATGAATGGCATCTACTTCATTGGTGGAAGACTGTATAAGCATACACATAGCTGATTCATTTTGGGGTGTAAAAGTTAAAATATATAATTATATTACAATTTTGGGAGTTTACAATATTTGTATCCTGAGATTTAAGGGATTTAATACAGATTTGAGAGTTTTGATTTCACCGCCAACAACTTATAAGTTATAACTACTAGACATTTGGCAACTACCCTCCACCTATAAACTCGGAGTAGTGATATTTTTAAGGATTAAAATAAATATTTTAAGAAAAATAATTTCATGAGGCTTCCCTATATTATTTTTAATTTTGTTAAGTACAAACGTAAAATAAGACAAAACCGAAATTACCAAAACAGCAAGAGGAGCAGTTGAAGGTAACCTTTCGTCTGATGAGTATCATAATATTTGAAATGATTATTTTTCGTACCTTTTTGTAGGATCTTTAGGTTCGTCTGTTTCGTTGACCGTGGGGAACGTAAAATGCTGTTTGGACTTGGTAGGAGACGATTCGTCGTCGCAGGTAGGTGACCCCGGGAGACCAGTCGGCGATGAAGGAATGGGTGGCGACCCATTGTCTACTTGGAAAGAGTCTTCGCTGTCGATTGTCATCTGTTCGGCTGCAAAACCCGACGAGTTTCGACCGATTTCTGTTCGAGTCCTGTCCTCTTCGAAACGGCTTTTAGCATATCTTCTTGAAAGAAGTTTTAGTCTAGATACACGAATTAATAATCAATTAGTTAACATCCATATTGCTTTGAATATTTTACATTATTATACCAATATTAATAACGATAGATGCTTGAAAAATTGCTTATTACAATTGTTATTGCAAATTGTAATAAATTGGTGAAAATCGATCGTTTTCATCAATTAGTCATACCTATGGTATAATATTATATTAGCCACTGTCACAGTACAACGTTATAAATTATAATATTTATTTCACATGTAGGTACCCCTTATTGTTATAGTTCACTACATATTTTGAATGTTCAATAACGAGAATGTTATTTCATTGAATCAGCACAGTTTCTTGTACTTAAAAGTATACTCCAATTTCTAATTCAAAATTTCTAAATTAATTTTGTTTTATCAAATTTTTAAAATATAAGTTAATATTTTCATAACTGTAGGAACTCAGCACACAATTTTAGAATGATATTTCAAATAAAAATGTAAATAAATTATATAGCTAACTGCTAAGTATCCAAGCAATTTTTATATAATATTATTATAATTTATTACCGTGTATTACAAAAATGACCATCGTAAGACTTACAACGTAAGTAATAAAATTGTTTTAGGTGCTATACATAAAAAATGTTGTTCAAAAATTAGTTTCAACTTAAAGCATTAATAATTTATTCATTCTAACGTCACATTTAGTGAAGAAACAAATGTATTACTTCAAGTTAATTTATATCTATCTTCCGTACATTAAGCATACAAATAAAATCTCAAACAACTGTTGGAATGCACCAAGCTCAGTCGGATTTCACATCACCGTCAGATCTATGTACAAAACGGGAGACATCGACTACAACTTTCCCAGAAATTGAGGTAGGTATGCTCAAACAGAAATACGAAGAGCGATGTATTTTATATTTGTTCAATATGTTTTCCCAGGATGAGTCAGGTCATAAAGCTAGTTAATATATTATCTATATGGCTATACATATAATGAGTTTATTCTAATATGCAACTTCATAAACCGGTACTTAATATGAGATATGTTAAATTGCAAGTAAAATTACAAAAATATATTATGTGACTATACACTGTTAAGAACATAATTTCCATTAATCATAATAATTATTTACAATAATTTATTTGCATTTTATAGATGAAAAGTTTGACTAGGCAGTTCTACATTATTTTATCAAACAACTGCATAATATCCTAAAAGTACGCATCTGCAATTTATTTGAAAACAACGCTGAGTTGGTTGAATAATATCATTCTTAAAAGTAAACGTTTGTTCAGTAAACATTTAAGTTAAGCCGCTATTAATATTCTACCTGTATTTTTATAGTTTTCATTTTACTGGTTCTACATTTTTTCTTGAATAATAATTTTATTATAGGGTACATAATTTATTGGAGTTACCCACAAGCAGATACTTTTCAGCAAAATAATCTCTAGACATTAAATGTGTAGGTACTTTGAGTATTTATTGTCGGTACTAGCTGGTTTCTAAGAATATTGCAATCGTTAACCTTTGGTGGGTAACGATAGTGTTTATTTCCTCGCTTTATCTCGAACTAAGTGTACATAATATTAGACTTTCATGAGTTCACATTACTTAGGGTACGAAACGTAGTAAAATATTTAAGTATTTTTCAAATGCAATTCATTTTGACCTATATGTAAAACCCAAGGGTATTCTGCATGGCTGGTACGTGTGGTCCATACTATAATTGGTGCAAAATCCAGTGAAAATTCCAGACTAGGGTACAGTCGTTTACAACCTACGAATAAGACTGTTCTCTTTAAATTCAATCAACCGTTTTATCATTTATGATTGTGTCAATTACTTAATAATTAGTAAAAAATACATTTGTTTTCTTTAAATTATTTGATTATCTGTTTCTATTCTGCTAAGACTCGTTCGAATCCGATAGAAAAATGTATTGAAATCGATTCTAATAATATCGCGAAGGGTTTTCATTACAATTTTTTAATTATACAACTATAAAATCATAAGTTACTTTTTTAAATAATTAGTGGGGGCATATAAAAATATAAGATCCTAGACTTACCTCTTGTTTGCTATAATGGTGTTTCGGTGAAGGTTCTCGAGCAGCGCTTGCCGCTTCATGATGTTACGCCATTCCAGAGTGTTGTCCGCATCGTCGTCCGCGTTCCGGTCCCTGTCAGATGGCCGGAAGTCCTCGGCTTCCGCGATGGTGTTTTCCTCCACGCCACCACCGTCCTTACCGTAGTTGTTGTTGGTCTTGTTGTCGTTGTTGTTGTTGTAGTTGTTGTTTTTGTGATGATGGTGGTGAAAGCTACTCGGCAACGTAGTGTACTGCATCAGAGGCATGCCACTGTCCTCGTATTCCTCGGGTGCTGTGTCCTGGACGGTGAAAACGGCCTTTGGGTCGTCCCTGGGCTGTTCTTCGGTGCTGGACGCGCTGTAGAACTCGTCGTCTTTTTCCGCGGACGACGATGACTGAGTACCGTTGAGCACTTCGTCCAACAGGTTCGGAATGATCCTCATTTTCGGTTCGAACTGACATAAGTATGCAAAACAGAACGGTTAATCATCAAAATACCACACCGTCGTGTTGTATGTACTTATTGTGTATTGATAGCATAATATAATATTGGTTATAGCACGTCGCCAGTGGAGGTCAAACGGGCAGGTACGAGTAAAAAAGATCTCCCCAAAATCTTTTTTTTCAATATTCATAATCATATAAACAATAAATTATGTTTTTTAAAAGGATTAAATGGTACATTCCTACACCTCATTTGACAATCAATATTTATTGTTCATGTGTGTAATTTACGACTGTTTATTAAACTGAGTTATTGTATTATCAAATTATTTAAGTAAATAAAATCTAGTTACAATTCTATAAAAATAAATAGCCATATGTTATTAGTGTGTTTTAGTTTTCATAGTTTTCGATATGAAATTTTTTTTACATTCTGATTGGAGTGATGAATGTATTGGTTTTATGATCATTGTGATGTTTTTTTATTTATTTTAACACTAAAAATGATTTGATATTCAACTTTGGGGGAATATTCTTGTAAAAATTGAATTCAGTTGGTACTTTTAAAGGAAAAAAAAACATTTGCAAAATAAGTAACAAATTTATTATCAAAAATAAATAAAATATCCATTTTTTTAATAATTGTACATAATGTACCTAATGAAACACACAAAAAACAAAAATGTTTAACAACATCAAGTGGCAAGTACCATATGACGCTTATAGGTTTCAGTCAAGTGTTAAGAAATTAGTATCTATAAATGTATAATTTTACGAAGAAACCAAAATTTACAGTTTTAAAGCGGTGTGGGAAGTTCTCATATAATTTTTATACTTTTAATGAAACTTACACATGTATGGTTTTACCTTACAGTGTAGGAACTTTGATAACCCAAATAAAGTCATACCAAATCAATCTAAATTTACCGACCCGATACCGGATTTTGAATACTGCAATATTACAGACATGTAAGTATACAATATGGGTATGGGGATAGTCAAATATTGGCAGGTAATAATAATATTCCCAGAACAGTTATATAATCACCAGCATAGGGGAGATATTGAGAGAAATCGAATATCAAACATTATAATATAGTATACGCAATAATAGAATATTAGGTATGTTATTAATTATTATAGTAGCTGTTGTAACAGTAAATGTATGATTTGTAGCATATTAACTATTGTGTAATATATTTTACACTTAGCTAAGCATTTAACCACATTTTTCGGCATTGATATAAAGTAATAATAAGTATTTTATGTTTAGAGTTATAACAACATTTTAATTAAATATTTTACATTACCTAATTTCTTGGAATTAAAATGTGCCTTAAGCTTACTAATATTAAATATTTTATTTAATAGTTTATAAGTTCATCTATGCTACTAAAAAATAAAGAAAAAACAATTTAATTAATATATTTTATAACATAATTAAATATTTGAAAAAATGTACGTCTAGGTTGAAAGTTACGAAAATGTCTTTTAAATACGAAATAATTATGTAGTTCAGGACACTGGAGGGAAGAAATGTTTGTTTCACACATATGATGCTAATAAATATTGGAACTGTCGGTGAAATATTTTTCGGGGTTGGAGGACTGATTCACCAAAATGGTTTTTTTTTATTATGTTGAAAAAATACGGCATTCGCGGAATTGTATTTGGTGTTTCAATATTCACTGTCATGAACGTCAAACATAATAAATAAATAAATAAATGACCTTAACAATCGATATCACATTTTGTTCGTTGTTGTAAAAAAATAAAATAGGTATGTCCGTTCGGGATTTAAATTAACGTAGTTTTGTGCTTCAGGTATACTCGAGAATCATTTTTAAGTTAAATAAAATTAATTGCTTAAACTGAAAAATGCATCTGACACAGCAATTAAAAAAAATATCCAATAAAATTTAATTAAAGCACGCAAAAAGCACTTTTACGGGGAAAATATTCGGTATTGAATAACAGTACAATACAATACAATATTGGAATTCAAACGTATTATAATACAGGTATACTAAAATAGCGTGTCACTAATCAAATTCAATAAGGGGAAATCGTATACATTCTTTTTATTTACCCTATGATAATCTCGGATAATAAAAATTGGACGATGGGGAATTGATTTCCAAATGCCCTTTGTGAGTAATTACAATGGACGAAGTAGTACACTATGCTTGGATTAATATCCACTTTCAAACAAACATTGGGTCAAAACAGTATGTATGTATAATACATCCTTGCCTGTGTTTGTGGATTAAACCATGGTATAATATGCACATAATTCCCTTAACGCCTTTGGTGAGCTTGGCTGAGTATATTTTGTCCGTATGTTTTATTTTTATTTAGACACATTTTAAAGCAAGATTGTTGTTCTTTTTTTTCATTCTGCTGTGGCTCCACGGTAATTGTTTATTTGTATTATCTAAAGGCCTACCTATAACTACTAGACAATTATCTGCATGTGATTTTAACAAATCGTCTAAAGACTAAAACTGTTTTTTTATCTTGAGCATAGAAACTCGCAAAATACGAAATTATGTTAAAAGTATTTAGAATAGTTTTGTTTTGTCATGCGTCTACCTGTATTATATTATTCACTAATATATTACAATAGAATTAATATAATACTATAATAATATTATTTGACATCAGAATAATAAATATTCATTTTCGAAATTAAAATAATATAATAAACCAATTTTATAGAGAATAATATTGTTGGTAATTTATCTATTAAAATACCGATTTGAAATGTGGTTTTTAGAAACTTCTAACAAATTATAGTTATTACATTTAAAAATTTCTATATTTGAAATTTACTAATTTGTTTAACTTTGGCCTTATCATTTTAGTAGCCATGCACTACAAAGTGCAATAATAATAATAATAACGGTATAGTGCTGTCACCCAATTTAGTTGGGGTACCACGCTGACCAATCGTACTGCAGAATATTATATACTGTACTACTCAGAATAATTGAACTCAACCACGTCTGACTACATACGGCCATTGCATAAAACTGTTATATGCATGAGTTTCACTTCCGTGTTATACAGTTTTTGGCAAAACTTTGAAGAGGTTTTTGGGTCCGGAAACTTAGTGGCACACGTGTTACTGAGTTCAATTAAACCCATCCAATAATGTTGTTGGATCAGTTCTACGATTTATTGGATCTTAGTTCAATTTAAACAAATGTTTGAATAGGCTCTGCTAACTTCACATCTAGTTTGTCGCCTACTTATTCCAAAATCTTCAAAAAACCATAAAAAATTGTTCATTATGGATGACTTAGAGAGGAGTTGTGGAAGTTTTAAAAAAATTTGTCAAAAATCAATAGACATCTAACAAACGGTAGGTCCTTCCAACAGTGACCAACAAACCTTAATATACAATGGTTCTTGAAGTATTTGACAAAGTGATGGCTATTGTCGTTTACTTAACCGTGGTTTTGGAAAAATTCTCACAATTTTTTAACGACCATCCAACAAATTGTAAAAACATTCCAACCATGTCAGACAAAATTGTTGGATAGGTTTAAATTCTGCTACGTATTTTCTCAAAAGTTCATCCTCGAGATTTGTCTAATAATTAACTAAATTTCGTTTTGGCCGTGAAAACTGTTTTCGAGTAGAGCGAAATCAATTTTGTGCAAACAATGTATATGTACCTAGTTTAATACTATTCTAAAATATATCGTCTACCCGAGTTCGACTTACCGGGTTGTCTAAATTGTCCTCATTTTCCGTGTCATCGGTAACCGTGGTCATCGTGGCCGCGGACGAGTCGGTGCTGGTGTTGACCGTGACCGACGATTCGATGGACACCGAGCTGGACCCGAACACCTTGAGCTTGGGCACCGGCGACGATTGCTGCGATTGCGGCTGTTGGTGCTGCACGTTCTGGTGGTGCTGTTGTTGTTGCAGTTGTTGTTGTTGTTGTTGTTGCAATTGTTGTTGTTGTTGTTTGGTCCGGTTGAGCATGCGTTGGGCGCCGGCAGACTTGAAGTGGAGCCGGCGCAGTGCGCTGGACGCGCTAGCGATGAGATCGTTACCGGATGACGCGGTACCGTAACTGGAAGCCGACGACGGCGTGGGGGATCCCGGCGCCGACTTCCTCACGAGAACCGCCATTCGGTGTTTGCCCGTGCCGCTGACCACGTCAACGCCGGCTGGAGTCCAGCCACCACCTGCCTGTAAAACAGAGACAGTCACATTACGTTATTGTAATATAAGTATTAAGTATGAAACTACACTAATAACTATATTGTCAGTCCTACAGATTACAAGCACATCGTTTTTATGTCACACTCGCGCGTCCCTATTGCGCCAAATGGTTATTACAACTGACATTATTTTTTTTTATTGATTTCAAACCCGGCAACTATGACTATTAGCTATTTGTAGGTGGTATACGGTTGGTTTTGAACACGCGCATGTGTGGTGAGGTCACCCATCCGGGACTAGTGACACCGGCCGGAGAACAAGTTTCGTAACTGAATACAACCACAGTGCTACAAAACGCCATTGCTGATATTGTTATTATTTTATTCGATTTTCATTTTTTACTAACATTTTTAATATAAAAAAAAGTATCTCTAAATGGTCTATTACTTATGTTTATGATTTTGAGTTACAAAGCCTGCCAAAAAATTACAGTCGTCCACGACTTTTGGCAGCGAAGCGTTGCAGTGACGCTTTTGTATACTAGATAGTTGTGTGATGATCATTCAACTTAATTTGTATGGCAGAAAACTAGTCAGATATTAGGTAAGATTGATATGCATCAGGGATCGTCATATGCATGGTCCCGTGGCGATTGACCCATTACGATATGTATTCAAATAATGGAGATATCATAGTCCTCGTAGTTTAATAAAACTCACAGGGACAAGAACAAGAACAAGAAGGACAAACATTTATGTTTTAATTTATTTTAATGTTTTGATAAAAAAGTTAAAAAATATATTTTCTAACTTAATTATTTTCAAAAAAAATTGAAGATAGGTAGCCATTTTGAAACAGTGTTAAATAGAGTTAATTTTTTTGATGTTTCAATATTTTATTTTCATTAATCTTCTAATTCTTAATGTTTTTCTCGATTGTCCTTGTGAGTGTTATTTAAAAAACCATATTTATGATATCCCAATTATTACAGGAGATATCACAATAGAGTAATTCTTAACAGGACATCCTATATACGTATTGATAGTTTACCTGTAATTTTACAGTGAAATTTTGCAAAAACGATTTATATGTAGATAATCCTACTTTTAAAATAATATACAATTAGGTACAATAACACAAGTAAATAGCTATATTTTATTTTGTTCTATGTTAAAATATTTATTGAAATGTTATTATTCAAGAACGTTCGTATAACACGCCAAACTTTAAACTATTTCCCAATTCTTATCTTTGTAGATGAGCTTATAGTTTACACATTTTAGTTAGTTAATGAGTACGCATTATTAACCATAATATGTGAAACTTAATAATTTATTTAAGTGATACAAATCCATAAATAATTTTAACAATACGGCTAGATGTCTCAAACGCAGCTGGTGCAGAGACCTACTTAGTGCGTAAGACTTTAATGTACATAGTTAGTCATGTAAAGGTATTTCTATTACATCTTAACACAATACTTTTAATCATAGTCATACTACTCATATTTAATTATTATACAAATGCATGGACTTTAAATATTCAATAAGAGCTTAAAAAAAAAAAAATAATAATAATAAGGCATTTTAAAACAACCAAAAATAAACAAAACACGTAATAACCTCATACATAAAATATCAACCTAAAAGTAATAAAAAGCACATTGAATCGAGTATCGACAGAATCGTATTCACATAATTTATAACGAACAACGAAATTATTCATTGAAAAGTAATAAAAACAAAAAAGTAATTTACTGTAACAAAACTGTACAAGACTACATTAAAGCCAAAAATATTGTTGATCAAACCCCTATTATGTATTTATATCATTTTAACCTACAATAGGTAGATACACATTTGTATTATAGCTAATAAATAATTGTTTATATTTTGAAATACTTTGTCATTACATAACAATGATGCAAATTATTATAACTGCAATGCTATCGATAAATAAAAACAAATCATTCGAATATTTGACAAAGAATTGAATATTTTGGACTACAAGGTTTATAAATATTCGTCTGGGAGGGGATCCAAGGGATGAGCCAGTCATCGACTTTTAATAACCCATCCACTGTTATCCAATACTACTAAATATTATATCGAATAATAACTACATAGTATAGTTACGATAACGATAGTGTTGATTATTTTTAAAAATAAAACGTTTGCAAATGCAATCGAATTGAGATGCACTGGTGTCTACCGACATTGGGACCGCATCATCCCTTATACTTCAAGCAAATTTTTTACAGAATTGTCAAAACTTCAAATTTATAAAAAATTAATACAAAATGACAATAAAAAAAGTAAAGTTGAAAATAATACGGTTTATATAAAAATAGTAGAAAATAATACTATTCACTTGAACAGTATTTTTAGTTTTGAGGAAGTGATTTATGTATTAATTATTGTATTAATTTGTGTAAATGCCTATAGAATATTATTCAAATTTATATTTTTATAATACATATGTATGGACAGCTTAAGTGCGATTTCTCTGCTTAAATATTTGGACATGCCCATCCCTGTAAAATATGTAGGTATATTATTAAAGCATTCCAATTTCGCGATGATTTATAACTTTTAATCTTTTATAATTACTGATTACAAATTTTCACCAATGTCGATAAGTTATGTACAACAATTTATCCCCATCCCTGTGTTTTGTGGACACCGTCAACATTTTCGAAGCTTTAATATAGGGAACCGGAATAATGATCAAAAGAACGGCCTAGATGTCTGCACCGTCGATATGGCCGAGTAACATAAGATGACGATAACTTACAGAATTTCAGTTTGATTAATTAAAAGAGAAGGTGTGAGGCTCATACTTACCGAGGTGAACAAGCAAAATCATATTATTATGATAAACACTTAAGCAGAAAAAATTCGGTTGGCGGGAGTTGGTTTCTGGGTAAATACATTTTAAGATAAATTCACATTTATTTTACATGCCCAAGACAAACAATCATTTAAAAAAAAAATGTCTGGTTTTTTATATATTTCAAGTCTTAGACGTCGATGAAAAATGTAGACAATTATAGGACGGCGTAGGAGCTAAGCTAAACTAATTAACCATTCGAGAAATTATTATTATTTCATATAATTGTATTGTAGGTAGTATGACTAATGTTAATCAAAATGAATATTATTTTTCAAAAAAAAATATATACTGGCATTTTCTTTTCTTGACTAATTAGATAACGCAATTTTGCTTATTTAAGATAAGTCATAGGACGATTATTTTTTTAATATTTTATCTAGAATAGATTAAATAGGAATAATTACCTTGATAATGCTGAAGTTAGGTCGTATGAACGAATTCATATTTTGTAGTCATCTAAGTTGAATTTAACTATTGTAAACATACTTACAAATTGTACTAATATTAAATGATAAAAAATAATATATCTAAAATGTGTACGAAATGTACTGCACTACTTCATGATTCCTTTTGGATAAAATTATTGAGGTGAATATTTTATTTTTTACTAACAAATGTGTAATGTTTTAAAAAGACTTTTGTGGGATTCCGTATACTAGTGGAGAGTATCAATGCACCATAATATATTCAACCAATATTCACTGTCATCCGAATTCCAGATTACGATACTATTATAAGTTAATGGAAAACACTTCGTAGTCTATGATGTTTTCCTTGTGATTTGATATCGATGCAATTCGATGCGCGGAAGCACGACGGTAAGACAATTTGGTTTGCCACAGACAGCCATTTCCGACACTACAAACACAATGTCGCGTTAATAATATATGTGCAATGTGCGTCTAATAAACTGCTAACCTGCAATTTGTCTTTTATACACCGATTAACCCTGCCGTTTGTTACCGAACTGCAGAGGGTACATCCGAGATAAATTTTTAAATAATAATTGAATGTATTTTGTTTTAGTTAGGTATCATTGCTAACACACACGCAGGACTTCGGGTGCTACCGGGCAATGATTAATTGCAGTTGACGTGTCACAGATAATTTGTCAATGAGAATTAATATCGACTGACGTACATTATCCGAAAACCCGTTTTAACACTCAAAATCAACTGATGTAGAGCTTGTTCACATCAATTATTATAGAAACTGTGATCCGTTAACATGGGCCGATTGTCACCAGTCAGTAAAGTGATCGAAGCATGAATAAATAATACTATGGATGTACATAACCTATCTACAATTGCATATTCACCTAGTAATAATTAGAAACTGTCGTTTATTATAAACTAATACAATCGTCCTCTATTGACATCAAACTATAACAGTAAATATCAGTTCCGTGTGAGTAATGATACTATTGCATGGATCTGATCGAAAATTATTAATTTGTCGAGGCGTGTTACTTAAAGAAGATAAATGTTAACAAATTGTAAGGTCAATTGACATTTTTATAATAACCGTAAAAAACAAATGAGAATGTTAAAAGTTTTTTTTTTAATCAACTTTTATTATATCCATTGTTTATACCCTTGACGAAGGAATAAGCGAACACAATATTATTTATGGTGTGTTTCGTAAATCAAATTTCCACCTTACCACCATCGCGGGGAGTTGTGAATTAAGGGGTTTTCAGGTCGGCAAAAATATGTTTTGTTCATAGGAGATGCTCACTACATTATTATACCTGTTAATCAAATGAACGAGTAACTACCACACTTACTATAATACCATGATGGTGTATCATGTAAAGCACCGCATTTCCGACTTTCGGATAAGAGGACCTATGCTTTAACTGAACCAGACCACCTCGTCCGGACACGGTAAAGGATACGGACCTTTCCCACGTTTTTCAAATTAATTAAAAACTCAATTAGTTAACTTTTTTAAATTACATTTTATCCTTTCTCTCTTGTTAGGGTAGAAAAAAGGATAGGGTGTATATCTTACGCGCATTTTCCAGTTTTTTTCGCCCATTAAAAGAACCCGCAGTAGCATTTTATTATTATTATTATAATTTTTTACTGTACTTATTATGTATATATACATATATATATATTAGAGTACTATAC